AAAACTTAACGCATATTAAATTTTCCATGTCATAATTACTTGAAAGTGGCATGATACACATTTAGTACGTTGGCAAATTAATTTAAATGCTTCGATATAATTATTATTGTTCTCGACTACCTGTGCAGCGGAGTGGAAGCAAGGGATTAGGGTTTGTATATTTGAGCAGATTTTCCGGGCAGTTGGACAATGTCAATAAGCAACTGTGACAACATTTCCGTCAAAAATTTATCAAATTATAACATTATTAACATAATAAAGTACGAATTCAAATTCCAGAGATGGGTTGGAAGATAAGTTAAACGATACTGAAACGAAAAGCTTTAATTAAAAGGCCAAAAAGGTCCCTTATCCTGTACTGTGATTTTGCGATAGGTACAGAAAACTAAAACCGCAGTGCATACACTTATGTTATCCTCTCGATACATGCAGCAATCAATTTCTAACTCATTAGTTTTGCAATTCACATTGTCAGCGGTTTCAACAGCACAACCACATCATATACACAAACTTCCAACTTTCAATGATAATTATTATTTCTTAAGGTTGTGTGCATTAGATCAACATACTTACTCGACTAACGAGACGTTTAATTAAGAAATATTTCTTGAATCTTGAGAGTAGAAATAAGTTGAAATTATTTTAATGACCGAATTGGTGTCACTGTATAATCACGTTCTCAGTATTATCCTACTATAATTTAATTTGTATATTTTGAAAACTGACTTAACGTTAATTTTAAATGGTAGACAAAGAAAACTTATTTTACATAATAAACCCATAACTTTTTCTAACACGAATATATTGGCTTTAACTAAATTATCAATTGCATATTTTTTTGTTTATAATTAAAAAAATCACGACAAAATAAATGAAATATTTTTTTGCAATAATAGGAAATTTTTTAAATTACTTAAATAAAATATTTTTTAGTTAAAATTATTCCTTGTATATTCTACTGTAAGGTTGAAAATAAAAAAAATATGCGCGTAGGAAGTATATTAATCTGATTAAATATCAAAAAAAGTACTTAACTTACTTTACTGTAAAGTAGTTATGAATTTTATCTTATTAAATACTTATTTTCACTATATTATGATTTAAGATGGGCTGAAATAAAGCAGTAGTTTTAAAAAAAAGTCATCTGACTCGTCGTCGAATTTAATATTTTAGATTTTACTAGGGTTCTTATAGAAAATTTATTTTCACAATTGTAACATAGATGGATACTGACAGAAAAACGAGTTTTCTGAATTTTCATGCCGTTTGTTTCAGGTTTTCGGGGCTTCCTTATTCACATCGTATTATAGTTTTGGTAGGAGTAAGTGTCTTTTCACTGTGAAAGTGTTTGCCAATAAATTATAAACAAAAGGTTCTTGTGTTTTACGACTTTCTTTTCGATAAACCTTCTGAACAGCTTATCGTTGGTTAAGAAGAAACTGTAATCGAAATAGATAAAAGCTCGATTCCAAGAAGAAAAAATAGTTATAGACAGTTTACTCAAATATTTAGTTTCAAATTAAAACTTTTTTTTATATCAATCGAAATTATTCTGAAGATTGTATAATATTTCAATGATGGAAAAAATATTGTTGTTAATAATATCGACATTTTTTTGTCAGAATATATATTGTTACACTCATACATTTATTCTAGGAAATGGGCTAGCACCAGTAGAACAAACGTTAAATATCATTAGCTATATTCAAATGCAGCCTGAAACAACATATAACGTGTGTTTTGAATATTGGGCGTACAGAACGAGAGTTTTCTATTTATTTTTTATTAAGTGTGTATGTTAAGGTGTAGAGGGCTATGGCAGTGAATTTTTTTCCTAGTTTCCTTGTTTTTATAACATAAGAATACAAGCACACGGAGGAATAGCTATTATATGGGGGTGCTCTTATTTCAATAACGTGGCTATGGTATCAATGTTACAGACTACACGTTTTTCTTCTACCTCTAACACTCTGTTTAGTACGTGTAGTCTCTTGGGGCCCACAATTCATTTCATCCACTGTGTATAGTTCCCTATCATGTTTTCTGTACCGCATGCGGGTCATTTTGGGAATTTATGGAACATCACACAAATCATTAAGCACCTACGCAAATTCACGTATATGACTGCAACCATTGATCTGTCATGGTATAAAACTCGATCATTCGTAGATAGTATTGCTATTAAACTTTTAATAGATCGATAAAAAAACTTGTTATTAAACTAGAATGATTGTAAAAGTATTGAAACAACATTATTTTATTTTAAAAATTATTTTTTATTTAAAAACGAGAATTAGGTAAAAAATTGGATTGTTTAGAATATAATATGAATTTTAATAAATTGCCGAAAACTTAAAGACGTTAAAAAATAAAATAAAATGTAATATTTTACCGACAAAGGTATTTAATTAAATGAATTTTGTTTTTTTTGGGAAAAAGCTAAAGCACGTGCGGGTAATAAGGCTTATATTGTATTAAACCTACCTAGACCTGATACAAAGTCTAACTTAAGCTAGGTGTTTTACCCGCACCTACCTTAATAATTGCATAATTAGAATTTTCATTTACACGCTTTGACTTCAGTATAATAATACGCGTCAAAAAATAAATAAATAAATTACCAATGGTCGCTGAATATTGTAGGTTTTTAGACCATTAATAATCCAAAAGTAATGTAATCATTTGTCAGTATGAACTGGAATATGATAAAGTGGCTGCGAAAGAAAAACATCTTTTTGTAAATATAAAGAGGTCTTTTTAGATTATTCCCTTTCTTATTTTTTCAACTCTCGCCTTTTAATAATTATGGTTTCAACAAGTACTTTACGACAAGTTGGGCCGACAAGTAAAAAACGTTGGTTATAAATCATTCCAACATTCACAGTAACCGGCGGAAACATGTCAGTGCATATTTTAATGTTACGCACAGAAACTTAAATTCAACAACCTAAATATTCATGGTCAAAAGATTTATTTTGAAAAAAAAATGTAAATTTATAGTGTAACTTTATTTTTATCGATGATTATATCGCAATAAGATATACTCAGAATTTCTCTACAGAAAAAACTTCAATATAGCTAATACAAAATTACTCAACTAAAAATTAACGTACATGTTATTTAGGTATAAGAGTCCTAAATAATTTATAATTATCGTAAACAGTAATAATCAAAGTGATGATTTTTAATTTAAGTGATTTTTTTAATATTAAATTAAAAGTTAATATCTTATATATTTTGCAAACACATTACAATAATGAAATAGACTTCAAAATTAATTGCCCCCTTTACTCACTTATTTTTACAAATAGGATAATGGGTTCAGATATTGAACAATTAGAAATTTGTTGAATTTTAAATTTCAATATCAGATTTATTATCAGAAATTAAATCCTTTATTTTGGATATAAAATCGTGAATTGTTTAATTTTTTAGCTTTTAATTATATATGTAAAAATGTTTAACTAGTTTTTAAGTTATTGTAAGTGTAATTTATAAAATTATTTGATAAATTGAAGAATTTTAACTTCATAGCGTACCGATGTTGATTATTTATGGAATTGGATTTAGGTTGCATCTGAACCAGTTAAAATCTACACAAATCTTTTTTCAACATTTCGATACTTGCTCTATTAGAAATGCTCTGGTCTATTTTTAATCAATATGCCAGACTTTTTATACAACAAAAATTGATCACTTGTGGTTAATATTATTTTAAATTAAAACTATTATTAATTTAAAACTAAAAACTATTAAAAATATTTAAATCAAAAAGCCACAAAAAACTACTAAAAAATTTCAGATGCGTATTTTAGAAACAATGTTACCATTAACAACGCTAAACACAGTTAGTTGTGTTTAGTCTTCTTAATTTTATTCACGTGTAAAAAACTTTACAGTCAACAATTTTCAACTTATATTTTTTTTAATATATATCTTTACTATGACCAAAATTATTTCCAATTGATTTAAAACACACACACACACACACACACACATATATATACACATATATATATATATATATATATATATATATATATATATAATTCTAATATGTATGTAATTATTTCTAAACCTGTACAAAGCATTTCACACTATGTTTTATTTAACACATGAGTTGTTAAAGATGGTTTAATAACATGATATAAAAACGTACAAACGTCATAAGACATGTTTTATAACCTACAATAAATCGTAACACGTATAAAACATACATAAAAGACGCATTTAATGTGTGGCCATTTTGTATAGAAAGCATCATTATTCGAACAATTTAATGAAGTATAAAATTTAGTGATAAAGATACACTGGTAGTATTTATTTACTCATGTTCAGTATCTTAATGTCAATCAAACATATTATTAACATGGTCGTTTGTTTAATTTGAAACATTATACATTGATCCACGTTTATACCTTTTTGATTAAAATAATAATCTATGTTTGTAAAATTGTAAAATATTTAAGAGAATCCCTATTTAATTTAAATATTTAATAACAACTGTTATATATTTATATTTCTTTGTCTAATTTATAAAAATAATTTTTTTATTCGAACTTTTTTTCGTTTGTATTTAATCTACTTAAAAATTATATTTTTTCATAATATAATCTTAGCGTTGAAAATGTTGATTATTTGCTTTAGGTAAATTTATAATTAGATTACTGTTTGTTAAAGAAGGTTATTTTTTCGGATACTTTTTATTTTTTAATTGTTTCTACTGTACATAAGACAATTACATGAACTTTTACAAAGTAGGTAAGTACGGCAAAACTCACTCAAATGTTTTGTTATCATAGTTCACCTGCCTTAAAAACTAAGTACGTTTAATATTTTGCCACGAAAACTTACAAAATTACTTACATGTTCATATGCAAAACGACAATGTTGGCTTACAAGGGAAATATAAATTTTTCTTGAGTGGTGTCAACATAATTTAATAAATACAAAAGGGAAACATGATACTCGCATAAACGTAAAAGGTAAAATTTTCTTACCTATCAAAACTTTTTACAGCAAAAAAGTAACTAGCTATGTTTTCTGATGTAATGAAGTTGACGAATTTTTTAGATGTAATTGTTGATTTTCTCCGATAGTGAAAGACAATCATAAGTTCCTGGAAAAAAATGCGACAATTACTATAAACTATTTTAATTGTATAAAATATTGTAATAATAAATTTTCATAGTGAATAGTTTTCATACATATTTAATATATACAGAGTATTATTTTGACGTCAGGCACTGAATATCTCTTAAAATAACAGATGGAGAAAATATCATAACAGATTATTAAGTGGTTTTAGAAAAAAACGTATAAAGTGAAATAAAAAAGTAACAAAATTTGTTTGTTATATATAGTTTTTCATTTAATGTCAAATAATTAATGTTTAGTAATGTTAAATAGCTATTAAAAATCATCATATGTATAGTTAAATCATAATTTGACTTGAAAAAAGAATTGTGTATCTTTATTTCAATAGATTTAATAAAATAAAACAACAAATAACACTATGGAAATTATTTTCATTAGGCACTCAAGAAACATAATTTTTTAGCTATAATTGTATAAAGTGAATTTTGAAAAATATTTTTACGTGAAACACTAAGTGATAGAATTTAATAGTGCAAAATATTATTTACAACGTTAGATGGAATCTTTTACAATGTACACAAATAATTTAGTGTCAGGGTTTTAGAGCATGTTGAAAAGACTAACGCAACGTGGTTTTTGAATAAACGACCACATAACTTTCTTTCATACATCAATTTGTACACCACCCCGGTACAAATTATTTTTTATTTTATATTCTTATAACTCCAAATAATAATAATGCGCGTCGCGTCAAGCTGAAATACTACTCTAGAAAAATACTTATTTATTGAACTTTAAAAATTACTTGGATGGATATAGAAAAATCGAGTCTGTTCTGCAATGGATATGTTGTAGACATATAAAAAGTAAAATGTTCAATCGAACGAAAAAACGAAAAACCACCGGGGTATAAAAATAATAAGTGAACCTTTTTGGCGTGAAAAAATAGCACCAGCCCGGTATGATGTAACATATGACAGGGCGGAGAGAACGGAGCAATCAAATCGTTTTTCGTTTGCACCTGGCAAATGGCTAGAAATTACTACACGGCGAGTCGATGGTCGGTGACGGGGCTCGACAGATAGGACGTTTGACACGTTATGTAAGCACGCATTCAATGGTCGACACTTTATCCCGTTCCCATTCCCCTACAGTAACCACGATACTTTCAAAAGCACGGCGTTTGCTCCAACGTGAAGGTGCCCGTTTATCTTTGTGCCCGTCCCTGCACAGGATTCCAGTACGTACGAATATCGGCCGTTTTTATGCGTTTCCTGACCCCTGTCCGTTCGCCACTACCGTCGTCACCCGTTTTGTCCCGGCACTCGGACCCGGTCTACCCTCTCGTCGGCACTGTTGCGCCATCGGCCGTTACAGAACCCCGTGACTTTTGGCATTCCCCAAGGACACATGCCGTGGTGAAATGACTAGATACATTTCTCTCTCTTTTTTTCATCACGACTCTAATATATAAACTATTGAACATAAAATAAACATAGTAACAAAATATACGGCAACTATAAAAAAAAAAAAAAAGTGGCCGACCTGATTCCCAAAGCTCTTCAATAATGTTTAGAGTTATCCAGTTTGTGTGTCGATAACACCCTACCCGAATAACATTTTTTACGATTGGTAATCGTACACACGTTTTCCAATATGGTAAACGACAGTTATTATTTTTATTCCCATCGGAAACACCAATACGCAGTATTTATGATATTTATCTCAACGTCATTGACTTTTCGGTCAATTAAATCACCACTAACATTCAACAGACGCAGTGTTGTCGTCACTAATTTTTGCTACATTTATATTTTATGATGCGATTTCTTAGAAATTCTGAATTTTCATACATTAATGAAATATATTTTTGTTAAAGATTGTACAAAAAAAAAAAAAAATACTCGGTTTACAATATTTATAGTTTATTTGATATTAAAAAATAATATATTTTTATCCTCATGGTATAGTTAAAATAACTTATTTTATAATCAAAATGCAGAAAATGTTGGGTATTGTATTAAATATAATATGGTAGCAGTAATCTACATACGGTTTTTTTTGTATTGAACATTTATTTTTATTTTAAATTAAAATGTTCAAATAAACAGTACAATGTTAAATTTTATTAAGACTTGATCACGTTCAATGGCGTATTCAAAACTTTTTCCAAAGAGTGGGTGAAATACTTCATCACGGAAATCTTAAACCTATTCTCATTATTTGCTCTTAAACATTTAAAGTAGTTATTGGTATAGTTTTATACTTTGAGTACTATTATTTCATGTAGTATTAAATTGTATTGATAAGAATAATATAAAACTCTATATAATAGACTATACAACAAATTAAATAAACAAATAAAATTGATTATCAATTGTAACTGTTAATTATCAATAAGTGAAATATTATAATTTTCAATAATTAGTACCTTAGGTTAAGTGAATAAATAGTATTTTGTCATATATATTTATAGTACAAATTTTGAGTTGTACTTTAAAAAATCATTATGAAAAGCTTTATGTAATATTTGATTCTTCTTTAGTTCCACTTTTTTTTTCAACGTGAACCAATAAAAAGAAAATAATTCGAATGCGTTCAAATTTTTTAAGTAATAATAATTATGTGATTGTAAATTTTGACTAATTAATAAAACGTCGTTGTATTTCGATATTTTTATTTAAAATGTTCATCTTGTGATAATTTTTGAAATTATATACACAAAATACGCTAAGTATAATGAAAATATAATGCTGCAGTTGACTGATACTCATAATTCTATATTAAAAATTAAATACACGGTTTTTCTGGAAAAAACGAACCCCATAAGAGACAAACAAGGGAAATTATGATGTCTTTGGGCGTTTTATAATTATATATAAGGTTCTTAATACAATGAATTTTTCTTGAAATTTAAGAAGTCCAATATGGATTTGTTGAATTAGAAAATTCTTTAAAATTGTTCTAAAAATTAAATTAAAATAAATAATTTGCTGTGAAATTAAAATAGTCTTCCACGCTTAATATATAATATTAACATTATAGCTAATTAATGTATTCGGAAGGTTAGAGAGCGATTAATGTTTAAACATGAAAATTGTAATTGAAATTGTAGATCCCTGAAGTTCTAATGCTCTAAGTTTGCACTTTTTTAGTAAAGATGACAAATTTTTCCAAAGGAAGACGCAAANATCAATATCTATTACTTTAGAGATACAATAATTATTAATTAATAAACTAATTATTAGTTTAAGATTATATAATGAATGTTAAATATAAAAAGATAATAATTGGAATTGTAGATCCCTGAAGTTCTAATGCTCTAAGTTTGCACTTTTTTAGTAAAGATGACAAATTTTTCCAAAGGAAGACGCAAAAATATGTTTAAATGTCAAAATTAATTTTTGGCCTATTATACCATTTAAAATACCTTTTATAAATATTGATAATAGTTCGAGGCCCTTTGCGTTCTCTCCTTGAATTCAATATTACCCAAGTATAAGAATCGATTAGTAAAACATTATTTAAATTATTTTTTGATATAATTTTACAATTATTATTCCAAATAAATTAGGTATCTAAAAATAAGGTTGACATATTAATAATAACGGAAAATAGGGAAAACGAGGATAATACGTGCCGGTAAATGATACATGGTTAACGTTGAAAATTGTTATTTTTTGTAATATGAATCGGATGTATGTAAAAATACCCGCATATTTATCCTTATGGTTGGTTGACGGTGGGAGGAAAGATGCAAAAAAAAAAAACAGTGGACAAGGGTAAGGGTTTTATCGTCCTGGCAGTTTCCCCAATTCCCCGTCAATTGGCCACTCCATCAAAACCAATCCACAGAGATAGCTTTAAAATACAAGCATAAAAATGTCATTTACACCACGTATATCGTACACGAATTACTGACCAACGCCGTTATCAGATTTATTTAAAAAAAAAAAAATTGAAAAAGTTTTGTTTGTTGGCTTTGGAAATTGGATTTCGATAAATACTCATGATAATGATTTATGGTTTTGCATGGAAGTGGTCATATTATTTAAAAAGACCAAAACTAAATGTTTTTTTGAAAAGAGCCGGTAGTTGGATTCAATGGTTTGTAATATGTTTTTATGACGGTTAGGTATATTTTTTTATACTTTTTGTACCATATGATTACTACTAATTCTTCTATTGAGTACTAAAACAATCATTTTTTTAACGTCTACACTAAGTTTTTCTTTTTTCAATATATTGAAGTTCGTTATATTTGACATTTTAATAAAATACAATGAAGTTCATTATTTTAAATCTGAATAGACGAGCAACTTTGCAAAATTTCTATTTAATTAATTCATATGCTAAATACGAAGTAGCACACAATATATCTCTTATAGAAAGTCGAAATTTTAAAGTCCTTAACCTCGAAATTATTTTTCTTTAGGTTGTCTATAACACTCGCAGTACAATATAAAAGTGTAAAGATAGAATATCTTTTTCAAATACTTGTTAATAGATAAATTATATTAAAATAATAATAAAACTAGTGGAAATATAATTTATTGCTCAGATAGATTCAATATCAATGTCATATAAATAGGTAATATAAGGGGACTTGATAGGGCTTAGATAGGAACTTGATAGTTCTGTAAAAAAATGAATAGCTCCTCCTTGTTAGGATTTTAAATTTGGAATATTTCACGTGAAATTTTTTAAAATTGAAAATTTTACGCGCACGTAAACTAATTTGTTGAAAATTTAAAAAATATGTTTTTTCTATTTCTATGCACGGCCATATTATTGTTTTAATGTGCTGTTATTTTAACATGTTATTCGACTGTTATTAAAACAGCCGAGTTGTCAAATCTATCTATATGGTCGTGTTTTTGTAAAAGGGACAAAACACAATGATAATTTAAGCGAAATTTTTTCATAAAATGGTTATTGCAAATAACGATAGCTTAACTATTATTAATTATTTCTAAATATGGTATTTACCAATATTGACCAGATATTTTTCGTTCTATGAAT